GACACGACCTGTGGGTGGGGTGGGGTGGGGTTCCCTCCCAAGTGAACCTACACCTGATGCCACTTATCCTTCCTCCAACCAGGACTGATTTGCTTGCCTCTGGCAGTGGCAAATGCTGATATAAAATTAGCTGCACCCAGAGTGGCTTGTGGGATGAGGGTTGAGAGGGCTGGCTGGTCAAAGGGCAAAGGGCCAGGAGAGGTGCAAAAAAAGACTAGTGCGAGGGGAGACAGGGGTGAAAAGAGCAGCCCCAGGATGGATTTTCTGATCCCAAGGCATGTGTGGAGAAAGTGTACAGAAGTTTCATGTACCAGGTTGGCCTAAATTGAATAAGTTTGATACTACATAGATCCAGGTTTATTTTAAACCAGGTTCTGCAATTTTTAGACCAGCTTTTGTGCATGGAACTTGTGTATGGTTGCAGGCTTAGACTAATTGCCAGTGACTGAGGATTTTTGGGAATCTAAGTCCCAGTGGCTGATTTTTCACTGCACTATATTTAATAAGAACACATTTTCCTTTTGTTTTTAGCTTAAGTTTTTGTTTAAGTTTCTCTCAGATTTCTCATTTAGTCAGGCATTGCTCTGCCTATATTTTCTCCCCAATATTCAGTTTAGGTAATGGAGGTTCAGTCCAAAATTCTAGGAATATTTATTAGCTGAGATGGCACTAAAATCATTTTTAAAGTCCCTGGGCATTTTGAGGCCAATCTACAGATTTTACCTTGATTGTACCTTGTACAATCAAGCCACAGTGAATAAAGCATTTACAACTGCAAGAATTCAAATTAATTTTAGATTTTTTTTCTCGCTTCTGAGCCTTTAGGTCATGCTTTCTTCATATTTTCAAACTTTTCTCCAAAACTTTTGAGGTTGGAGGTTTCTGGCGTGAAGTTTTTATTGATTTTTATTTTGAAATGTTGACTTAATGTACAATATTTAGGGCTAGAACTCTCTATTATTTATGGGTTTTACTATTCTTTGTGTGGTCTTCACCTCTCTTTTTCTGGGGCATACTGTCTATATGATATAGCAATATGCAATGAAAGGTATTTCCAGTTATGCTGTTGTTAAAAGTATATCTGTAGGGTATTCTTCTTGCTTAGCTCTTTGGAAAGGCTGTGTAGTCCTGTCCAGAATATAGTTTACATTTTCCAAAATGCATAGGTGGAGGGAGAAAATATTATTTGGGGGGGTGCTTACGCATGTGCACCCACCCACACACAGAGCAGGTAAGGCTGTCATGGGGAATGGGCATAGTAGGGCAGATTGAGGGCCCTGTGGTGAGGGAGGGAGTGGAGCAGGGGCAGGGGCTGGGGTGAATGGAGCTCCGGGGCTGGGGCAGGTTGTGGGATGTTTAGAGCCTGGGGGGCTCATCCACGGGCATGGTGGGTGGGGGGAGAACTCCCACTGCCACACGCACCCCAGTGGAGGCCCATGGGGCATGTGCCCTCTGGATCTGTGTTGGGCTCTGTGCCCCGCTGCGGCTGCCTTGGGAGTGATGTGACACCATGTGCCTGCTGCCTCTGGGCAGGAAGGAATGCAGGGCAGTCAGCATGGAGGCGGCACATGGCATCACACCACTCCTGAGGCAGAGGCAGTGTGGCATAGAGCCCAGCCTGCAGCAGCAGTCTGCCTCTGCCCCGCACACAAATCTGGGGGGCATATACCCCCCGGGTCTCAGCTGGGGTGTGTGCAGGGCTGGGAGCCCCCCTGCACCCTTTGACAAGTCATTTGGGCTCTGACCATCCCATGACCTGCCCTGGCCCTGGGGCCCCATTCACTCCAGCCCCTGCCTCTGCCCTATTCCCTCTCTGACCGTGGGGACCTTGATCTCCCCCCACGCCCATGCCCCTTCATCACGACAGTCTTACCTGCTGTGGTCGGCAGTGTTCTACATGCTGCCAGGCTGCTGCAGGCTTTGACTGTGTTTCTGTGCTTGTGTGTGCCCCTACCTCACCTTGCTGCAGCCACCTGGAGCCCGCACCTGTGCTGCTCTGCAGCCCTCTGTGCTGCCACTGCTGCCCCATGTTTGGGGGGACTAAGCCCCATTAGCCCCAGACTTCTGCTGCCTATGCCAAAATGTAAAATAAAACAAAAATAGTGTGCGTACGCAAGTGTGGGTATGCATGCATTTGTGTTGGTTGTCTGTTTTGGTCTTTCTTTGGTTTGTTTTTGTTGTGAATAAAGGAAGGGGAAGTTGTTAATTTGTGCAAGTTTGGTTGATTTGCATTGAGAAGTAACTTTTAGGATTCTGAAAATTTAGGAGAAAATAGTTCAAGTAAAGCAACGTAAGTTCCTAGAATATGCTATAGGGCTAAGAACAGACAGTCAAAAAGCCTGAGGCTAAATCAATTCCATCTTTGCAGGTCAGTCTAAACTGCATAGATTGAACCAATAAGCAAGTGATCAGAGGACAGATACTTAACTTTTGATTCCAGAAATGCAGCTGCATGCCTGTAGTGGTCCTATCCAGAAGCTGGGGGGATGCTAAAACACCCCTCCCTGCTCAACTGGAGTAGACATCTTGGGCCAAGGCTAGCCCACCCACCCTGCAAAGCATCCTGGGATGCTGGGGGACTGTGAGTTAACTTGAATCTGAAGGGGATCTGTGACGGAAGTTCAATAAACCAATTTAACCTACATCATTTAAGTCTGATACTATATCCATCCATGTTTATCTTAATTCGCTCTTGGCCATTTTGGAAGTAGTTTATGTGCACTGAACTTTTGTTCTGTTAGAGATTTGAACCAGTTCCCAATCACTTATACCAGTTTGTGTAATTTCTGTCCCTAGCCTACAAGTCAAATAGCTATAATTTGACAACACTACTTATGTTTTCCTGCTGTACAAGTAGAATAGCAGTTCTTTGGTTAATTTAGTATAGCTATATGTATTTTGTATAGGATGGGGGCATTGTGAAATATTCTAGTATAATTTTGTGGTTGAATAGTAATTTATTGTCTTTTCTACTCAGCTGCACAATAAATGCGCTTCACATCTAAAGCCTGAATGTGACTGTGGACCATTGAAAGACCACATTTTACCACCCATATCAATCTGTCCAGTAGTATTGGTGAGTTTATGGTCTCTTGTCTAATAAAGACCTATATCAAAGATATTGGAAAAACCTGTGTTAAATACTTGATTACTGTAACTTTTTTGCTAATTTGACAACCCAACATAAACCCCAAAACAGAACAAATAATTCTAATTTATTACTTACAGGCAGAAATACTTTTTTCCCCAATATATTGCATTTTCCTTCATACGACAATGAACTTTCTGTAGGAGCGCTCTACTATATAACATGCTATAACTAAAGCTGACTCAGGTTTTATCACTTAGTCATACTGTACTTACCAGAAATTGTATAGGCAGAACACTTCTACATTTTACATCTTTTATAGATCCAACTTCCCAGAATAATGAAGTTATTCTTATGGGCAGTTTTTGCTTGGGATGCATATTGTATATCTGCAATGCTGAGGTCTCTCATCTAAGCCGGAGGTTACCTAGAATGATGACATTGGCCTTGTAGCAAGCTATGCATCAATATTATGGTGTATTTTATTCTGCAGGAGTGGACAGTAAATTTCACTGTCCACAAAAACAATAACTCAATTAAATGAAAATAGAAATACCTACTGTATGTACGTAGGACTGAAAAAAAGCCAAGCAGTTTCTCATGGACAGACACGTTCAAAATTAACTTGTATATGAATTTAATGTTAAATTGATTTTTTTATGCTCATGAAAGTCACAGCATCATCACATTCATGCTAATAGAAGTTGTGATATACACGGACCTCTCATTTTAAATTTACTTTATAATAAAAATAATAGTTGAGTTTGAGAGAGCATGAAGTCAACTAAACTAGAGTAGTCAGAAAAACAGGAAAAATGACTGTTAAAACTTAAATCTGTTGCTGGTAATTTTAAAACTACTCCTGCTTGTGTAAGATTATGTATGATTTATAATGTAAGAGTCACTCTACTGCAACCAAAGAAGTTAAAACAGTGGCAACCTGGTGTTGATGCAAGTAAAAAGGTAATATGTGTAATTTCCAAAATGTTTTGTAATGATGTAAATAGCAAAAATGGAAGTATGGGTCTGCTCTGAAAAAATTACTGAAAAATAATTGTTTGGGTTTCTTTGACGATTGCAATTCCATGACTCCAGATTATACTTACCAAATTTATATTATATCAATCCTACAAACTATCTGAGATGTGTAACTCAAGCTGGTTTTCTACTCACTTGTGCATCATAACTAGTAGTAAAGGCTCTGCAGCTGAAACTTTGCCCTCATCTATATTTGTGTGAGCCCGTTTTCTTCCGTGGTGTATTGCAGGTACAGAAGAAGTAGAATTTGGTTCTGCAGTCGAATTAATTTAGCACTTTTACTGTTCTTACAATCCAGCCTTGATTCCAGTTCACCCTTGCGCAGCACTGCTGAATCTGCAGATTTAAAAGGCAAAAAAAGTAATGAAAAATATTTTTGTTATAAAATATTTAGTTTCTAAAAATATGTAAAGTTGTTCTAAAATAAATAGTTCTAAGATATTGTCTCTGACTACATATGGATACTTTTACTGGAAACGTTCATGTCAGTACTGTACATAAATCACAAGGAAGGAAACAAGGTTGATATTTGGTGTACTGTCTTTCAGTGGAAACTTTATGATTTTACAATCCAGTATGCTTGGTCAGCCAGCTGCTTTTTATGAAAATATATTCTAATTATACATTTATAATTAGCATTACATTAGAACATTCTTAGAATATATTACTCTAGTATACCAAGGCTTGCAGACAGAGGTGATCTCTTTTATTAGCCCGACAAGATTTTTGCAAAAAAAATTCTTTAATTGCAAGCTTTCGGGCACAAGCACCCTTCATCAGGCACTGGAGAAAAGATTGTAAAAGTTCTCCTGGGTAGAAATGAAAGTTCATCTGTTGACTCCTCTGTGAAATCCTATGAAATATGAACTTTCATTTCTACACAGGAGAACTTTTACAATCTTTTCTCCAGTGCCTGATGAAGGGTGCTTGTGCCCGAAAGCTTGCAATTAAAGAATTTTTTTTGCAAAAATCTTGTCGGGCTAATAAAAGAGATCACCTCTGTCTGCAAGCCCTGATTGCTTTTTCCTCTAGACCAATATGGCTACAACCTGGGTACCTTACTCTAGTATAAGTTACTCTAAGAGTATTCTAATTAATAATACATATGCATTTGCATCACTGCTAGCATATCACTCGCATGGGTAATAAGAATTCTGTTTAGAAATATCGACTACAGTGTACACGTGATTTCTTGGTAATTTTTAAATTGAGTTTTCCTATTTCCTCTTTATGTGGATTCCTCTTGATGAATGTATCATTTCAGTGAAGATGAAACCATAACCATCAAGAACTAGAGAAAACTAGCAAATATCTGTTATTAACCAGAATCACAGTTAGGTAATCTACTAAGTGTGCAGTGTTAAGCATGCTCCTCAACAGAAATAGTGCATTTCAGACACAGTGCCTTATATGAAAGGATAGGATATATTATTCAGAATGTTGCTTTAGCTATAACGATCTCTGAATTAGTGTGATTTTTTTTTTTTTGCATCTTTGAGTGGATATACACTGTGCCATAAAAAGCAAAAGCAAATGAGCAATCATATCTTGTAGAAATCTGTGACTATGGGGAAGAGCAATTTTTATTCCTTTCCTAGAGGAATTATTTTTTGTTAAAACTTTCCTCCAAAGAAAACAGATTCTCCCCAGGTTTACATGTCAAATTTGAGTCATGCAACAAAATCCATATAAGGAAAATAGCTTTCTTCTTTCCAGTTGTCACTTATTGGAGCTCAGACTACTTTCTCAGATCTGGTGGGCATAATTCAAGGCAGTTTCTTTGCATATGGACTGTCAAAAGTCTTGCGTTCAACAGGAATGAGACATTTTATGGCTGTTCCATTTCCTTTGGTGTCCTACTGGAAACGCATACAAATTCTAGTGCCCTTAGGGCTGCACTCCCAAGATTTCTCCTATTGAGAATGGGAAGCTCTGCATCACCCTCACTTTAAGTACCTGGTATCTTGGTCTCTGTGCAGACCTAGCAGCTTTGTTTCAAACTGCTTCCCAAAGACAAGATCCCCCCAGTCAGTGGTTGCCATCTTTATTCCCTAGGCCTATGCTTTTTGTAAAAGCCAAACAACTGACCATCAAAAAAACAAAAATCAAACAAGCAGAAAAAACCTCTTGAGCTCATGTGTATAGCAGTAGAGACTTGTGGTCTGTGGTCTCTATCTTGCAAGCTACAATGTGTGGGCAAACCCCTGCAATCTGCATTAAGCCCCACTAAGTTCAGTAGATCTATATTCAAGCTTATGGATATATAAATAAAAAGTATCTTCTAGGATCACAGGAAGTTTCTGTAATCTACAGGGTTTTACTGATTCATTCTTTTGTTCATAGAATTATTACAAATTAATTTGAACACATTCACACAGATTCACCAATTTGCAGCAGTAGTAAAATATCAAGATTGTTAAATGTGTTGGGGGTGGGGAAGGCAGGTAAAATCATTTGTATTTTGTGTTTTTATTTGCATTTGCACATAAAGAAAATTCTGTCTCTAAAATAGGAAATGCAAGTAACTGTCTAAAATAGGAACTAACAGCTAGCTAGAAGAGCAGGGTCTGAGAATAAGTAAAATTGATGTTTTCCATTCAAACTCAAAGCACCCTTCAGAATTACAAAAAAAAAAATGAGGCAGATTTTTTTGCCGTATTTTATTTATAGATTCAATTGGCAAAGTTCTCAGCTGCAAAATAGGGGAAACAAATGTTTTGGAAATTTAACGTGGTGTACACAGCAGAAGATCTGCAAGAGATCTTTCAGGAATCCATCTTTTACCAGCATTTCTCACATTCCTACGTTTTAGTAAGATATAGTTTATTTACTTTTAAAACAGTCTAATTCATGTAGTCACCATTCTAATTTAGAATAAATGTGATGTATTGCATGATGAAGTTTCTTGCTTGAGTTAAATGAGTTTAGTTATAAACTGTGCATGCAGATCTCAAGTGATAGTCTTTTAATAGATGTCAGATACACTTTAATGTTACCCTCTTTTATTTCAGTAACGTTTTAATTAATTCACACTGATTGAATAAATGTACATTGAGACTTGTTTCCTAATGAGGGCACATTTAGAGGAAAGGTTTTGCATCATTCTGATATCCTGTGGGTAATTATATTCTAATTATATGGTGGGGGGAAAAGTCTATAACTCAGTGCTGATATTGTTCATTGGACCTAATTAATTACATGCGTATAATGAGAGTTCATGATAAGGTTGACTGGCAGTGAGTTTAAAAATCTTTAACTCAATTGAATCCTAGCCTAACATGAGTATAGAATTAGATGATAACCAGGTTAAAAGCTGAGTATTGGAATGAGACAAGTGAGTATCCAAGAAGACTGACCTCTCTTTTCAGTGTTGCTTTTTATATGAAGCATAAATGGAGAAATGGTTTCTGACATCTTGGCTTATCCATTTTTGTGCTTTCTCTTTATTTCATTCTACTAATGTAAACTCAGTGTTCTTTCTATTAATATAAATAAGTAATAGGATAACTAGATTTTCCCTTTCTCATATATGATCCTTTGTGTAACAACAAACCAACTAACCAAAATACACAATATAATTAATATAACAGCCTAATTCTCCTGTCATTTATACCATTTTTAACCCAATGAAACTTTATTCTACTTTACTGGAGCTAATTTATATAATTACTTTATTGCAAATAAACAGTCTTGAAAATCATAATAAGAGTACTATATTAACATATCCTGCTTTAAATACAAAAACTTATGTACATTGACTTTACTGTGCAAGTATTCGGAAACTCCATACTTCCTTGTTTCCATAGTAACAAATGTACTTCAAATTAAGGGAAATGCTATAACATTAAAGGAATAACTAAATGTGAAAGAAAAAAAAACTTATTGTGAGATTTAACATAAGCAGCCCAAACACAGTTTTTGATGATGTAGAATTACCTACTTAATTCCCT